ATAACGGATTAATAGAATATTTGTCCTTTTGTGATTGACTTATTTCACTCAGCATAATGTCCTCCAAGTTCATCCACGTTATGTGATGTTTTACAGATTCTACATTATTCTTTAGGGTTGCATGGTATTCCATTGTATGTATGTACCATAGTTTGGATATCCATTCCTCAGTTGATGGACACCTAAGTTGTTTCCATCTTTTGTTCTGCCCATTTTTTAACTGGATTATTTGTCTTTTTGTTGTTGAGATGTTGGAGTTTTCCATAAATTTTAGAGATAAGTCCCTTGTCAGATATGTTGTTGCCAAATATTTTTTCCCAGTCTGTAGGTTCTCTTTTGACTCTTTCAGAGAAGTGTTTGGAAGCACATAAAAATTTAATTTTGAGAAAGTCCCATTCATCTAGTTTTTCTTCTGCTGTTTGTGCATTTTGGGTTATGCTTGATAATCTATTTATGCCATATATCAAGGCCTCTAAATTTGCCCCTATTTTTTCCTTGAGGAACTTTATAGTTTTAGATTTCACATTTAAGTCTTTCATCCTCTGAAGTTAGTTTTTGTGTATGGTGTGAAGTACAGATCTTGTTTCATTTTTCTGCAAATGGATATCCAATTTTCCTAGCACCATTTGTTAAACATACTGTCTCTTCCCCATTTAATGGATTTAGGCTCTTTGTCAAAGATCAGCTGACCATAGGTTGATGGATCTGTTTCTGGGTTCTCAACTCTATTCCACTGGTCTGTGTGTCTGTCATTGTACCAGTACCAGGCAATTTTGACTACTGTGGCTGTATAGTAGGTTTTGAGATTTGAGAGTGTGAGACTTCCTATCAGCTGTTTTATCTTCTCATTTCTTCCATTTGCTTTAGCCACTCTCCATTGAAGGGCAAGTTTCAGAGTCTCTTCTGCCATCCATTTTGGTCTTTTCTTCTTTTCCTGTCTTTTTAATGACCTCTTGCTTTCTTCATGTATGATGTTCTTGATGTCATCCCACAGTTCCTCTGGTTTTTGATCATTGGTGTTCAGTGCATCGATTCAGTTCTTTAGATGGTCTCTTAATTTGGGAGGGATATAATCAAGGTCATATTTTGGCTCTCGTGAACTTTTTTTTTACTTGTCTTCACTTGAACTTGAATTTGCATGTGAACAGTCGATGGTCTGTTCCATAGTCAGCTTCTGGCCTTGTTTTGGATGAAGACTGTGGTAGTTCAGTTTGTGTGTCAACTTGGCTGGGCCTGGTTGAGTGGCTGGGCAGCTGGATGTAGTATTCCCCATGATGAGACTAGTAATCAACTCCTTGGTGGAATCTACTGTGAGCAGCTGAGTAGCTGTCTTAGGGAATGTGGTCTGCTTCCTGTATATAAGCAGAAGCCTTGGGGATAGTCTTGAGTTTATGGCACTTTTGGACCCTGCATGTAGCTGTATCATTGTTCAGCAGCCTGCCGTGCTCTGCCGACCTTGGGACTTAAAATGGACGTGAGTTAGTGGCCTGCTGTGTGGTTTTGTAACATTGGGACCGTGCCATTTTATTTGTCAACCTTGGACTTGTTAGCCTCATCAGCCAGTAGCTGCCTGAGTGAAGAGATGCCTCTGGCTTCAGTGGGCCAGGAGCAGGAGGCAGAGCTGCAGCCCAAGGTTGAGGGGCTTTCACACAGCTCCTAGAGCCTGGCACTTTGAACTTGGGCTTAAAGCCTCCAACCTGTAAGAGAATAAACTCCTGTTTGTTAAGGTCATCCCATTTGTGGTATATTCTTGTCAGAGTGGCACTCAGTAACCAGAACAAAGACCTTGAGCTTCTCCATCACCTCTTGCCACAGTTGTAGTCGATCTGATTCCTGTGTACTCCATCTGGTGAAGTCCACATGTATAGCCACTGTTTGTGTTGTTGAAAAAAGATGCTTACAATGAATAAGTCATTGGTCTTGCAAAATTCTATCATGCATTCTCCAGTGTTATTTCTATCACCAAGGCTGTATTTTCCAACTACCAGTAATTCTTCTTTGTTTCCAAGTTTTGCATTCCAGTCACCAGTGATAACCAACACATCGTGATCACATGTTCAATCCATTTCAGACTGTAGAAGTTGGTAAATATCTTCAATTTCCTCATCTTTGACTTTGGTGGTTGGTGCATAAATTTGAATAATAGTAGTCTTAACTGGTTTTCCTTGTAGGCATATGAATATTATCCTGTCACTGGCAGCATTATACTTCAGGACAGATCCTGAAACATTATTTGTGATGATAAATGGCATGCCATTCCTTTTCAATTTGTCATTCCCGGCATAGTAATCATATAGTTGTCTGATTCAAAATGCCCAAAACCAGTCCATTTCAGCTCACTAATGCTTAGGATATCAATCTTTATGCATCCCATTTCATTTTTGACAACTTCCAATTTTCCTAGATTCATACTTCGTATATTCCATGTTCCAATTATTAATGGATGTTTACAGCTGTTTCTTATCTTTATGAGTTGTGCCCCATCAGCAATTGGAGGTCCTGAAAGCTTTGCTCCATCCATATTATTAAGGTCAGCTCTACTCTGAGGAGTAACTCGTCCCCAGTCATATTTTGAGTGCCTTCTGACCTGAGGGGCTCATCTTCCATCACTATATCGGACAGTGTTCCAGGGCTATTCATAAAATTTTCTAGTAATATATCAGAGAGTGTTTCTTTGCTATTCATAAGGTTTTCATTGGCCAATTCTTTGAGAAGTGGATGGCCTCTTCCTTCTTCTGAGTCTGTCTTAGCCTGGAAGCTCCACTGAAACCTGTCTACCATGAGTAACCCTACTGGCATTTGCAATACCGGTGGCATAGCCTCCAGCCTCACAGCAACACTCAAACCACCATAAGACGACAAACTGACAGACATGTTCGTCTCCCTTAGTTGTTCAAGCCGCTCCACTAACTTTCTGGCCTACCTTAAAGCTGCTTCAAACCCTGCACCCAGCTCTCTGCCTTCCGCCTTCCAGGCCACTCTGAAAAGCTGTCTCCAAACACCTCTGCACCCTGGCTCACCACCTCTGCCTTTGGGGCAGCGCTGTGCAGTGAGAAAATCATAAGGGTGAGGGAATCTAGTTCCAGCCCAGATTTGGCTTTCAGCACTCTATAGTCCTTACAGGATGACACTGCCCATCCGTAAGCCTTGCTTACTTTCACATCCATGGAGTATACGATGCTTTCCCTACTATGGCCATAACTCTGAGGACTGGCTTAATCCTTGTGACTGGTTTCCCTGTGGGCCAGGCTATCTCTGCCGTAGTGAAATGAAAAGAGCAGCATGTCTCCAGGTGGAACCCCAGCTCTAAGGCATAGTAATCCATGTGACCTGGGCAAGTCCTTTCACCTACCTTGCAAGCTTGTTGCAGTAACTGAGTGAGACATGCTAGCAGTAGTCCCCTAAAACCTAAAGCATCAGTTTTCCTATCTGTAAAATGGGGTTAATACTCCCTTCCTGAGAGTCTGTGCAGGGGCTGGCATCAGGCCTGGCAGGTAGAAGGCAGACTGTGTGGCATCTGCTGATGTTTATATCACCAGCACTGGTGAGCTTCTCACTACCCGCCCCTGTTCCCACCCAGCAACCTGGCCTTGCCCTGTCTCATGAACCATCTCTGGTGGTTGTATCATTCTTGAAACAGCCTCCCATAAGAGAAGTCAGCTCTGAGGCCCTGCTTCTTCCCCTCACCTATTTATGAGCTTTCTTAGCACTCCCACCTGGTGGGATGTGGGCTCAGCAGATGGTATGACTGCTGATCTCCTTTGAAAACCAGTGAACAAGTTGGGAACATGACATGGAAAAGAGAGAGCTCAGTTCTGGGTCTGTGTGACCTTGGATTACTCACCTTGAAGGTACAAAGAAGTAACTTACCTAGAGTTACATAGAGGTAAAGCTAGGATTTGAAACTAGCTCTGTCTTCTTCCTAACCCTGAGCTCTTTGTACACTGATCTGCCTCTGTATGTGCACATAGAATATGTAATCTTAGAATAAAAGTGCTTTGGAACTGTCTACAGCACTCTGGACCAATGACTGCAATGCAGATGAGGAGGTAGGCAGCAGAGTGAACCGGACTGGGAATCTAGACATCTGGGTTTTGGTGCTGGTGCTGCCACTTGCTGTGTGACTTTGGGCAAGTCACTTCACCTCTCTGGGCATCAGAGTCCATCTATAAAATAAGCATTGGACTAGAACAGGGGCCAGTGAACTTTTTTCAGAAGGGAGTATTTTAGGCTTTGCAGGTCATACAGTCCCTATTGCAACTACCCAATTCTGCTATTGTAGCAAAAAGCAGCTGTAGGCAATATATGAACAATGAATGGGGCTATGTTTCAATAAAACTACTTACAAAAACAGATGACAGGCTGGACTTGCTCATGAGTCCTGGTTTGCTGATCCCTGAACTAGATGTTCTTAGAATGTTCTTCCAACCTGGTGGTCTAGGATTCTCTAGCAGCAGTCTGACCACAGTGGGCAAGAACCCAAGCTGTGGATTAATCACCAGTTTACATTGACATTGGTCAAGAAAACAGCAACTATTGGTTTCTTGCATCCTGTAAGGAAGCCAGAGGGAAATTTCAGTCTTTGGTAACCAGTTCTATTTTTCTCTTTATAGAATGCTGAGATGTATAAGCTGTCTTCACAGCAATTCCATGAGGCAGCTTCAAAAATGGAGAGCACAATAAAGTAAGAATTTGTTTATTATTCTTTGTAAACTTGCACTGTATTTGTGGACAGTCTACTTCCATAGTGATACCACCTCAGAAACCCAAGTAGCGGTCTCTATGAGTCTGATCCCACTCAACGGCAGTGTGTTGCGCTATTGTTTTGCTTATTTGTGAAAATTCCCACATGTGGCTTGAAATCTGCCACCACCTGCCCAATTTCAGATTTCTGTCATAATACAGTGAACCATCTGTTATTCAGCTCTTTCACCTGGATTGACAGCAGCCATTGGTCCTCTGTAATTGACCAAATTAGCACCCAGCTCTTCACCAGCTCTTTGGTAAATTGAAGTGTGGTTGAGGCAGATGCAGCAGAGATACTTGCAGGGCCCAGACTCTGGTGAGCAGGGTTGCTTTTTGTTTTCTAGCTGTGAGAGTTGCTGGTAATCAGACCCTGAAGGGAGTAGACAAAAAGTGTTCCTGGCCCTGCTTTGTGGAGATCATTCTGTAGAGCAGCCTACTCACCTTCCGCTTGCCTGGTGCTATGCTAAGCACTTCTTATATATTGACAGTAAGGCGCAGCTTGGTGAAGCCTTTTCTTAGGGCCTCCAGATGGATTCTCAGTGCTTGCTCCCGGAGCACAGTTTGCACTGTGATCCCCTTAGCTTTTGTGCACTGGCTTGTGCTTTGTCCCTTGGAGACCTGTCTCTCTGAATGTAAGAATCCAGAAGGATGGATTGGTCAGAGCCTCCCTGGGCTCTGTAGTCAGATGGACCTGGGTTCAAACCACAGCCCTACCACTGCCTGGTTGTACTTCTTTGTGTGAGTCACTTCACCTTTCTGGGTCTCAGCTTCCTCATCTACAAAACAGAAACATTTTAAGTGACAGTTTAATGAGATACTCCATGGAAAGTAGACCTAGGATACCAATGAGTGGTGTTGGTATTAGTGTGACTGTTATTAATAATGACTGTCATTTGAATCACTTTTACAGCACGTAGATTGACATAGAGTAGAGCAGATTTGATCGATAAATTGAGTTTACAAAGCATTTTATGTATTTTCTCAAATGGATTAAACAAGAAGCTGTGTAGAGTCAGAAGGTATTTTCCTTAAACGTTGTTGGGGGAAGGGATCCTTGATTAGGAGATTTCTTGCATTAGCAAGCAAATGACTGAATTGCATTGTAAGTGCCATAGAAATAAAGCCAACTGCTGTCAGCAGTGATAGTGGGGAATTTTCTTCCAAGACAGTGGAGGTCTTTAATAACTTTTGAGTAAACCGAATGGTTATTTAGATAGTAAATGAGTGGCCCATGTATTCATTCATTCATTTACCATGCATGTTGTAAGTGCCTATTTTCCAGGCACCATGCAAGACAGTGAGGATACAAATGATAAACAAGACAGCTTCAGTCCCTGCAGCAAAGAACTTATAGCATTTGGGCGATGACAAACAGTATTTAAAAATTAATTGCACAAGAAGCAATTACCCAGTTATTTAATTACAATGCTGAATGCCATGAAGGGAAATTTAAATTAAAAGTGGTCTGTCAGAGGAGCCTAACCTAGTAGTCTGGGAGGTTCAGGAGGGTTTCTCTAAGGATATGACCAGAAGAGTAGAAGTTGGCCAGAGGAAGGAAAAAGCATTTCAAACAGAAGGCTCAGCATGTTCTCAGTCCTGAGACCGGAAGTAATTAAGCATGGTCAAGGAACTGAAAGAAGCCTGTGTGGCTGGAGAGTAATGAATGCTGAGAGAGAGGCAATAATGTACCTCCGAGAATCCACAAGAGCTAAATCGAGCAGGACTTTGCCACCATATTAGAGATTTTGATTTTGTCCTAGGAGCAATGAAGTACCATGTTCAGCTCTATTTCTCTGCGAATATATGTGTTTAAGGTTATAAATTTCTCTGTAAACCCAGCTTTACCTACATCCTACAAGTTTTGAGATACTATATTTTTATTATAATTCAGGTCAAAAGTTTTCTAATTTTTATTCTGTTTTCTTCTTTGGCTCAAATTGTTTTGAGATATATTGCTTAATTTCCAAACATTTGGGGGTTTTCTAATTATTATTATTATTATATAATTGATTTATAGTTTAATTCCACTATGATTAGGAAACTAAACTATTTCTGTCCCTTGAAATTTGTCAAAACTTGCTTTATGGACCAATATATGACTTGTTTTGGTAAACTTCCCATGTGTACTTGAAAGAATATGCACTCTGCCAGTGGGTATAGTGTTCTGTGCTTATCAGTTTGGTCAGGCATGTTCAAATTTTCAATATTGTTGCTGATTTTTTTTTGTCTGTTTATTAGTTATTGAGAAAGTGTATGTACCCCACTGTGATTGTGGATTTGTCTATTTCTCCTTTTCCTTCTATCAGGTTTTGTTTTATATGTTTTAAATCTATATTATCAGAGGTATACAAATTAAAATTGCCACATATTCCTAGTATATTGACCCTTTTATCAATATGCAGTTTTCTTCTTTATCTGTAGTGATGTTTCTTATCTTGAAATCTAAATTGACAATAATAGAGTTTCACTACTTTTCTTTGGGTTAGTGTTTGCATGTTTTATTTTTCACTTTCAACATTTTTGAATCCTTATATGTAAAATAAAGGGGTTCTGGTGGTATAGTGGTTAAGGGACTTGACTGATAACCGAAGGTCAGCAGCTCAAACCCACGAGCTGCTCCACAGAAGGAAGACTGGGCAATCTACTTCTGTAAAGATTTACAGCGTCAGAAACCCAGTGAGGGTTGCTATGAGTCGAAAACAACCCAACGGCAGTGAGTTTTTATGTAAGATAAGTCTTTAATGGGAAGTATATAGGGGGGTTTTGTTACTGTTTTTAATCTGATCTGACAACCTTGATTTTATAATTAAAGTATTATTACACTTAATTAACAATAGTTTTAAGTTTATATTGTCAGTCCTATTTGTTTTTGTTTGTCCTCTCTGTTTTTGGAGGTTTTTTTTTTCCTCTTCTGTTAATTTCTTTTTTATTAGTCAAATGTTTTTATTGTTCCATTTTTTCCTTGGCAATTATACATTCTTATATTATTCTTTCCGTGATTAGCCTAGATATTACAATATGCACCATGACTTATTATGTTATAATATATATTACTACTTTTATCACTTCCCAGACAATGCTGTGATCCTACAAATGCTTTAATATCATTTACCCCTTCCTTTTGTGTAATTATTTTCATACATTTAACTTTACATGTATTTTAGACTCCATAAGACATCATCATCATCTCATTATTTTGTATAATCATTTGTCTTTCCCCACATACATACCTTTTTTTGGTCCTATTCTTCATCCCTTCCTACACTCAGTGTTTCTTTCTGAGATCGTGGTTCTTTTGACTGTAGAACCTCCTTTAAAATTGCTATTAACATAGGTTTAATGGTTATAGATTCTCACTATTTTTGTTTGTTTGAGATTATCTTTATTCAATATTTAAAGAATATAGCGCTCATTTTCTTTCAGCTCCTTGAAGATATCTTTACATTCTCATTTGATACCTATTTTTCTCTTGAGAAGTTAGCTGTTGATATTGTTACTAACTACTTTTAAGTGCTTTCTCTTTTTTTTCTATCTGCTTTTAAGATTTTCTCTTTGTCTTTGGTTTTTAGCAGTTTTACTGTAATGTGCTTAGTTACAGATTTTCTTTCTCTTTCTCCTGCTTGGACTTCTTGTCTTGATGTCTTTGGTTAGTGTTGGAAATTTCTTACCCATTATTTCTTCAGATAAAACTTCAACCTATTTGATCATTCAGTTACATGTATTATTGTACCTCATATCATTTATGCTCTTTTTTGCTTTTTAACTTCATGCTGGTTTTTTTTTTTTTTTGTTAGAGTCCATGAATATATTAATTACATTAAAGTCATTGTCTTAATAATTCTATAAGTGGTCATCTGACAGTCTGTTTCTGTTGTTTCTCTCTCTCTCTGCCTGCCCCCCCACCCCCAATCATCACCTTGGTCTCATTTCTTAGTGTGCCTTAATTCTTGACTGAATGCCAGACACTGTGAAGAGAAATTACAGAGGCTTTGTCTGGTATTTCCTAAAATGCCTTGCCCTGTTCCTTGTTGGCCATCTGAATGAAGGCAGTTCTCCTTAACCTCATCAGAGACTGAGTTTCCTGGAGGCTGGCTGCCATTCTTTTAAAAGCTCAGTCTACTTTTAATTCTAAGGTGTGGTTTGCTAGAGTTCATCTTTCTTAGTAATCCCTAGACCCCTGGTTTTACTTCTTCAGCTCTGTGAGACTTCTGAAAATTCCACTGTGCTTTTCAGTGGCCTTTTACTTAGCTTCTTAGACTCTTGCCTGAGTAGCTCAATAATTTGACAAATAGTTTAAAAAAGAGGGAACCAATAAGTATTGGCTTACTATTCTTGTACCTCCCATCTTTCCAGAATCTTGACTCCTGAAGTCTTAACTGCCTTGGCAACCTCAAACTCCAAAGAAATGTATTGTCTCTATACAGTTCTGTGAGATTGCCAGAATCTCTACTGGCTTCTCTGCCTTTTAGCTGAAGCTCTTTGTCTGACTGTCAGCCTATCTCCATGTACCAAAAATTGGCAAAACCCCCCTAAGTGGTTCTATGAATGAACATGTACCTCTCTGCAATTCCCTTATATTCATAATCTTGACCCTGAGGTCCTAGTTGTTTTGGTCCTTAGATTCCTTCAAACAGATATTTTTAAACCTGATTTATAAAATTTTTCTCAGACTAGAGCATAGGTCTTCCGCAAGTTACTCTATTAGAACTGGAAGCAGAGGTCCTAACTTAACTTTTGAGGGATGATTAGAAGTTGCCAAGCAGAAAGGGGCATTTCAGGTCAAGGAAAAGTAAGCATTGAAGCAAACTAAATCAAACATTGAATATTATAGTAGTATTATACATTCATAAAAAGAGCTCAGATGGCACAATGGGTAAGGCATTTGTCTGCTAACCAGAAGGTCAACTGTTCAAACCCACCAGCAGCTTTGCAGAAGGA